TTTCATACACCAAAAAAGACCAGTGCCTTACATGTACAACTTATGAGAACTCTGACCTGGATGGTAAAAATGCCCTTAAAAATGATTACGAATCTTATATTCTAGAAAAGAACTTAAGCAGACAAGAAAAAATGCAGACAAAAGCAATATTACCAACTTATACCACGTAGCTTGTTTCGATTTACAAGCAGCTCTATCACTTCCTAAAGGTGACGTTTCAGCCTTTTATTAAGTCTCGTTTAAATTGCTACAATTTTACAGTTTGTAGCCTTCAACAAAAAGGACTTGGTCCTGTAGAGTGCTATATTTTTCATGAAGGAGAAGGGAATCGTGGATCCATTGAAATTGGTTCTTGCCTACTTAAGTATTTAAGAAAAACGGCTAATGGAGCTGACTCTGAAAATTTGGAAGTAGTCTTCTTTTCAGATAACTGTGGAGGACAAGGCAAAAATAAATTTGTTGTAACCACCTTTTTGTATGCAGTTACTAATTTCAAAATAAAAAGTATTATCCATAAATTTTTTGAAGTGGGACATGGTCAAAACGAAGGTGACAGTAGTCACTCCATAATCGAAAAAAACATCAAACGAGCTTTGAAATCGGGCCCCATTTTCCTACCAGCTCAATACTCAGCAATAATAAGTACTGCTAGTAAACCAGGAAGTATGTTTAAAATCAATGAAATGGCTCATAATGAGTTTGTTGACTTAAAAAAAATGACATCCGATTGTACTAATCAGCCATTTAATGTAAATATTAATGGTGAAAAGTTTAACTTTAATGATATAGTTACCAGCACAGAATTTAAACAAGTTATAATCAGAAATAATAAAACAAGGAGCGGAATAACTCAACTACTACAAAATTATGATCTATCCCCAGTCAAAATTAATAAGAAAAAGTATGATGACATACAATCTCACGTCCAAAATAAATCTATACCACCTATACATGCTCCTTTCTTCAATGCATTGAATTATAAGGTCGCAGGATAATATTCCGTTGAAAAAATTCTCTCTTTATCTGATGTATTTCGACTCTATGGAATATTTTTGATTTTAAGTTTTGAATGTTTATACTTAAGTTTTTATTTATAATGGTATCTATAACGACCACCTGTCAAAACTGGCCACCTGTACTAGCCGGCAAGTTACAAAGTTCCCCAAACCAAAATTTGTGGACTACAAAACCTGGTATTAGCGGCCACCTTTTTATATCGGCCAATAGTTCTGTCATTTTTAGTGACCGTTATTGACAGGCGTTACTGTATTAGCATGTTTTTAATAAATTTATCCAAATTAATAAAATAATACGTCACTAATACCGCACAAAATCTTAAAAGTTCCACGTACTTGAATGCATTAATGACGTAACTTGAAAAAAAAATTGTCAAAATACCCCTGTCATCAGTTAAACGACTGTATTATGTGAACTGTCAGCTTACCTAGATGAATAAAATCGAAAATACGTCAATAAGTCAGTCAGCTACCGAGCAATCAAAGATTGCATTTCCCCCAAAACTTTAAACGCACTTTACTACAAACTACGTTTTTGAGGTTACGTCACTAATGTTCTCAGCAAGCGATATATTTGGGTTTTCACATGCCAGCAACTAAAAACTTATTCGTAAACTACATCCCAAGCGTTTTGTTTTATTATGTCAATTTAGGTTAGGATTTTTGCTGCACATGAATTGTATATTTTACTATCTTTTATTATGTGATATTGACAATTTTGTGTAATTTTAGTAAATTTTAATTGTTATTGTTATTTTTTTACGTTCTGTAAGCTTTGTCCATAAAATTGTACAATTTTCAGTGACAATAAAGCGTATTTCTATTTTAGAACCCTACCCGTTCCATAAGGTTTAATGTGTTTATACAGTATGGTGGAAATGAAAGGAATAAATTCGTTATTTCGTAAACCGGAGACTTTAAGGAAAAATCCTGAAACCCGTCGATTTTTATTTTTAAATAAACTATTCGTAAGAATACATTTTTATTTTTGACGTCATCTATGTGAGCGTGATGACGTCATTGCTAAAATTTTTTAATAGAAAGGGGGTATTGTAATACATCATTTGAAAGGTCTTTTAAATACCTATTCAGTCTATATCAATATGTCTAAGTAATTAAAGTTTGTAATTGTTTAAAAAAATAATTAAATTTTTATTATTACAATAAATATTTATTAAGTATTATTCAATAAATACAACGAAACCTAAATTAAGTGTTCAAATTGTTTAGCGAAAATACAATGAGAAAGGCGTGCCGCGAACTTCTTCTCTAACATTCTCTAAAACTTCCGGAGTTATTTGAACAACCTCATTACGTATTCTTTCTTTCAGTTCATTAATATTTTGTGGTCTATTTTGATACACCTTACTTTTTAAATATCCCCATAAAAATAAATCAAGAGGAGTCAAATCAGGTGACCTAGGCGGCCATTCTATTGTTCCTCTTCGACCTATCCACCGATTTGGAAAGACGTTTTAAGTATTGCGTACCAATACAGCATAGTGTGGAGGCGCACCATCTTGCTGTAGCCATAAATCATTTCTATTTGGAAACAACCGGTTCAATTCTGGAAGCAAGAAATTTTGAAGAAATTCTAAATATCGAGGACCTGTTAAGTTTTCTTCTAAAACGTATGGTCCAATACACCTATTATCTATTATTCCCACCCAAACATTAATTTTCTCTGGGTATTGAGTACGATACTCTTGCATCCAGTGTGAGTTTTCCGTAGCCCAGTACCGATAAGTTTGACGATTGACATAACCGTTTAGTAGAAATGTAGCTTCATCAGAGAAAATAATCTTTTTTAAAAACATCGGATCTCTGTTATTTCGTTCCATTATAATGTCACAAAATTCAATTCGTCTATCAAAATCATCTTCCATAAGTTCTTGTACTAAACTTGCTTTGTAGGGATGCCACTTTTCCTTCTTTAGCTGTTGAATGGTCCATGTCATTATCTAATGCTACTTGCCGTGAACTGTTATGAGGATTATCTTGAAAAGCTAACAGAACGTCTACTTGTTGGTTTTCAGATATTTGTTTTCTACTACCTTTAGGAAGGTCTTTAACATGACCCATTTCTCTAATTTTTTTCTCAATTTTGCTTACAGTGGATTGTGCAATTGGTTCTCGACGGGGTATTTATTATTAAATAATGCACATACTTCTTTCTGTGTACGTGTTTTATCTTCATAACCAATCATTATGAGAATTTCAATTCTTTGCATTTCAGTTAGCTTTATGTTCAAAGATGCAAAGACTTTTTGAATATGTTTACTACAATAATACTATTAATCACTTGACAGAAAGATAATTAAGTTTGAATGTCCAACTATCAATGTTCATATTGATAAGGTATACCCGGTTCGCTATTCCCAGTCCGAACTGTCTAGTGATTTTAGTAATTATTTTTTTGCGAAGTTAGTTACTTTTTGACAGACTCGAAGTGGCTGGAAATTACTATACAACCAAGCATACATGCTCTTAGTCAATATTAATGTAAACAAAAGTAAATAAAATAGAACTTTGCAAATGACCGACAATCAATATTTATTTATTTACACCTTATACTGTATTGATAACAAATAATAAAATTATTTATTGTATAAAATAAAAATAGTGGGAATAAATTCTACAAAATTAAGAAGTCAAAGTGAGGTTAAATAAGACACAGCAAGTTCCTTATGTTGTGCAGTTCTTTTTCTTATTCCTTTATTTGTCCCATCCTGCCAAGACCTTCTAACTGATCCAGAAGAAAATATCCATGTTTCATCTAAAAAAATTAAGGGCTTTTTGTAAACGCCTTTTTGGTCATTTTCGTGGTAAATCCTTAAACAATTATGCCTCATCTCAACTATGTGAGGAACTTCCATGAAATGTTTTTGTGGACTGTCTATTTTGTATATGAGTCCTATTTCTTTCAAGATCAGAAAGAGGCTTGTTTTTCCTCCTTCATAAATAAATTTGTCTCTTAAAACCTTCAGCAGACTAGATATTGTAAGAGGCAACTCTAAAACAATTATTAATTTTTAGGTAGTTTACATATCCAAGTTGGAAATTTTCTCGGAAAGAGTGTCAATATACGAAGCCCTAACAACTAGATAATCGAACAAACTAAAATATATTCAAAATTCAGATAGTATACAGTTTATGTAATTACTTAATTACTAATAATATAGGTTTAATCAGCAACACAAAACAAAATATATTTACTCTAACAGAATTAATTAATAAACACGAATTTAAAAACTTTAAGTTGGTTGCATACATTAGGCGCAACTTAACGATATAAACTAAATTAGCCTAACTTTTTATAAAATATATATTTTTATATATAATAAACACTTACTTTCTTCATACATCCTATAAATTTCTAAACAAATTTGATTTTTGTTACTATGATTTAAGTCAGACCTTAATTTTGGGTGTCTGTATGTGTTTTTGCAATAATCTACTAATCCCAATCTACTGATTTTTTGAGAGCATATCTATTGAGAAAATAATAACTGACTTTAGAACCCTTTGAACATAAACAAGGGTTATCATTTTTTGTTGTTTCATGGGTATATTGGCTGTGGCTTTTAAAAACAAGATACACTTTAAATGTAAACAACATAATAACAATGTTGAGCATTCAATAAAAATCATTTTATAATAATCAGTAAATGGAGTGCTCCACTAGTACCACATTTGAATTAACAAATAATTTATATTCTTGCACAGAGCGTTTATTAATTTGTTTATATTTAGCAGAGTGCTGGACTACTATGCTGGAAAATCCAGCAACACTACTTATACAAAAATGATATCAAATTATGCAACAAGGGGTGTCTAAAGACCATATAATTTGTTCTTTGTTTAACATATCAAATATGGTATCAGGAGAAATACTTTTATTTAAAATCTACTACAAATACTTGTATATGTACTCTCTAACCTTTATACTATATGTTATTGTAAAAATTAATGATATTTACTTACTTTCTTCATTTGTTGTTTGCTTTTCTTCAAATAGTGTAAATTTATACTCATCTTGTTCTACTTCAGTGTTTATGGGGAATTCATTTAAAGGTTCATCTAAACCTAAATAATCAAATGCGTGGTATGCACTTTCTCTCTTGGGTTCTTCTTTAATTTCAATTTTGAAGGCATCCAAGGGACCATCACATGTCTCTGTTTCTATTTTACAAGTTTCACTTAATTCTTGTTTTATTTCCATATTATTAAATTTGATTTTGATCCTAATGATGGAACGATGTCTACGGAGATGAAATTTATATCAATAAATTCTGCTTCTCTTACTGATGATTGTACAATGATTTTTGTTCTCTAGAAAACGTTCTTTTTTATGTCATTTCCATTTAAAATATGTTTTATTTTTAAAAAACCACCGCCATTATCATAGATAAATAATATAGTAATTATATATACAGACGCCATTATTTACAATACATTAGAGAGTTATCATTATCAAGTAAAATTTTATCCTTCCGTTATTTTGACACGTAAACGCTATTTTTTACGGTATAAAGTTTTAACGGATATGTAATTTTAGAGTTATCAAATGGTGGAATTGCTGCTTCACGTTATTAGTTGGCAGCTGTCAGACAAATGTCGTATTTGACAGCAAAATAATTATTTTTTTTTATGTTTTCTTTCATCCAAGGTAATATTTTGTCTTATTTTGTACATTTTGCGTTTCAAATTTTTTTTCTACAGAAATATGGAAGACATTTTAGAACAAGCAATATTAGTTGAAGCAAATGACAAAGTTATAGAAGATTTAATACTAAATCATCTTGTAAACATCAACATAAAATCATATTTTAAATAATAACATACAAAATGTACATTCTGTGTTCAATTTTGATAGCTTAGAGCCTGAGCAAGCCAAACATTTTTCATATTTTCGGTTTGAAAAACAGGGCATTCCAGAGGGTTGACTCCTCGCACTTCTTTTACTAGTAAAAGGTTATCAGTGCTTGTAAAACGCAGCCTTTTTTGTCTTTTTTACTACTTCTGTGTTTTATAATTGATAAATATAATGAAATATAATAAAATGTTTTATTTCTCTCGCAGATGCTTAACCAAGAAGACGGAAAACACATGTTAACTAATGAACAGAAATAAAATTACAGAACAGAGTCTTTAATCTCCGAGTTCCGAGTCTTGACGAATTGATGCGATTCGCTGCTAACGTTACCGTATATCAAACCCGTTATTCGACGTACGGTAACGGAGCCCGTAAACGTTAAAATCATTTACGTTATTCACATTTCATACTGCGCATGCTCCGCTGTCAAAATAACGTTACCGTATTCTCACTCTTTCACTGATTTAACTCTCTATTTGTATGTGTATGTTATGTTTTAAACAATGACGTATAATATACGTCATTGGTTTTAAAGCTAATGGACCACAGGAGTGATGACGTAGATTTTATTGACATCTGTCAGTTTCACTTTCCAAACAAACCTTGTTTAGTCTGGATAATTTGTGTTTTTAGTTATTTTTTCATTTATTTTATAGAATCTTTCCGCTTTTTGCAATATTTAAGTATTCTAATAGTTACTACAACAGTTTCTTAATATTGTTCTGAAACTACAGTAAAAGCCAAATAAAGTTGCGTTCACGTCATCATTGTGAACATTTGCAGCGTTGTCAGATGGTTTATGAAGTATGAAAATTAACAGAAAAGAATCTTAAGTAAACAAAAAAGGTGGAAGGTAGCAAATTTCACACTATAATTGTTACACTTCTTAAAAATTAGCTTTATTCAACACCAACAATATAACAATACTTTTTAACTAACTGAACAACTATAAACTTCTATATTCAAAATACATCTGTTCCCAACTGTCAAAAAATCTGTTATATAAATATTTTCTGACGTTCCAAACTTCACTAGACATTTCAAGAATTTGCTAAAATAATACAAATTTTTGTAAAGTAATGATATTTTATTCGCATATTACCTCTTGCACGGCGTTTAAGGGTAACAAAGGGTCATTATTAATCCTTTCTTCTTCAAAATAGTTAACTAATGAAGCCACAAGTTCTTTACATCTTTGCAGCTGTTTGGGCATTTTGACAAGTAAGTAAATAAATGTTTTTCACAAGATAACCTCTAAAATCGACGATACCACCAGTACAAAAGTCACAGACCACTGATTGAAAACTCAACAAACGACGCGGCAACAAGACAATATTTCTGGTAGTGACTAATACTCCGTCAATAATTGGTGGTTTCTTCATGAACATTTCAAACAAAATTTTACAATGACGGACGTTTCTAAATCCAAAAAAGCTATATATACATAGCTGTATATACATTATTTTGTTACAAAAGTTTTTTTATTGATCGGGTTAATTTTTAAAAGTGATTGTTTAGCAAACTAAAGTAATATACACTTTTTCTATAGAAATGTAGCCACACATACAATACAATTATGATATTGGTGACGTGCACGCAACTTTATTTGGCTTTTAGTGTATTTTCTTGTGGCATTGTAAATTAATTACTATTAAACTGGGAATAAGCCACAATTAAAGATAAAAATACGTTTATTGACGTTTCAATTTCCACTTCGGAAATCGTTCTCAAAATACAAACAATAAAAAAAAGTTTGTATTTTGAGAACGATTTCCGAAGTGGAAATTGAAACGTCAATAAACGTATTTTTATCTTTAATTGTGGCTTATTCCCAGTTTAATAGTAATTAAGTTACTACAACAATTTTACAATGGTTGTGTAAATAATAAAGCACATTGTTTTATGCCATCGAGTTAGGTTTTATGCTAATAGCTATAAAATGCATGTATCAATAAAGTAAAGTTAGTATTTCTTTAATTTAAATTTTAAACTATATTTCATAGAAATAGAACTCAGAATTATCGTAAAAAATACTATGCTTACAAGAAAAAGCAGCAATGGAAGCAAAATGTTAACTTTATAGATATTAAAAAGTCTTGAGTTTTGACATTTCAACTTTTGAATCGTAGGCTTCCACGCCAGAGTCAGAATTATAGTTTATTCGTCTTCCGGTTTGGACCGTGTCATTTGTGAGTGACCCAAACCATAGTGTCACACTCGTGGCCTGCGGTCCATTAATGTCGAGTTTCAAGTTTCACTCTCGAGTTTACCGTTACCGAAAGTATAAAGACCGCTTTACAGCTTGCAAGAAAACTTGCTGCAACTTCTTGCATGACTAACTTTCATGAAATTTATTGCAGGGTCTTTATGTGTGACTTTACAGCTTGCAATTAATGTTGAAATTTTTACTCTCAACCTAACTTATTTATGATCTTTTTAAATTACTTGTTTATTTAAAACACTTTAGTCGATTTAGTTTGATAGATAGATTGAATTAATTTCGATAGATAGATTTAGAATTAATTTCGATAGATTTAGATTAGAATTTAGAATGATATATTTAGAATTAATTTCAATAGATAGATAGTAAATTTCGTAATGCCAAGACTATGCAAGACATTGTTAGTACTTCGGGCAGAAGATAGTTCAATTTTTGATGATACTCTAACGTATTAATTAAAAAATATTAAAATTAGAAAAAGGCGATAATCTACAAATCAAGCCAAGCTAAATACAAATGTGTGGGAAAGGAAATAATAAACAAAACAAGAAACAGCTGATCGGCATGTCTCCGTGTCAATCAGTGATTATGACATTTGACATTGTGAAAATAAAAACTGCAATAAGTTGCAGGCAATAATCAGCTGACGACATACTGCGCATGCCTTTGGGCAACTTTCTTGCGTCTTGCAGGTAAAATTGCAAGCTGTAAAACGGACTTAAGCTGAACATAGCCGCAAATTTCAACCATGAAATAAAATATTGAGATTTAACAATGGCAGTGTTGGGATGTATATGTCACAGTAGCTGTGTATACTGTGCATATGTTCACAAATATACTTTACAAATAAAAAGAGAAAGCTTTAAAAAGTTCATTTTGATTATCTTTTTTTTCTTATCTTTTATCGTCTAGATCGGATCTATCGGCATTGGATCTATTTATGGTCTAGATCTATCGGCAACGCAGGTATATAAAAAATTTCATCCATTCCATTAAGGTCGGGTATTTTCGTTTTGATATTGCGCGGCATGATACTATGATAAGAAGATAAGATATTGCGCATAAGTCATGACGTCATTGGAGAGTTACACGTTCGAAATGTCAGTTTTTTTGTGTGTCAATAAATAATCTTTAATAAATAGTTTGGAGATATCCTTATGTGTACAATTATTGTAATTATTAAACCTCTTAACTTATTTTCGTCTAGTAATTTTATCATAGAATACATACAAATCCCATTTACCTTTAACAAGAATTCAAGTTCTACTCTCCAATGACGGCATGCGCGAACACGACCGATTTTGTGATACGGGAAGATCCTATCTTGTTATTCATAGTATCATGATTACGCGGTATAAAAAAATATAGGAGAATTCCGAGATTGACACTTAACCGTTAAAAGTCTGTCTGGGAATCCCCAATATTTATTAACATAAAATTTCATATTTTTCTTTACATTTCATTATTAAAAATGCAAACCAATAAACCAAATCTAACCCAATAAGAAAACATGACAATAAAACTAAACCAACCTGACCTAACCTAACCTAACGCTCGTAAAAAAACAGTAATAAGAATAAAATTTTGTAATATAATTAAAAACCAAATTTTTTATTTTTCATAAGAAAACATGATAATAAACGTAAAGAAACGTAACCAAATCTAACCTGACCCTTAATTTTCTAAAATTTAAAAAAGCTATAATTTTCAGTTAAAAGTAAATAATAATAAATGCTATTTTAATGTCCAATTTGAAAGTGAATTTTTATTTTTCATTAGAAAACATAATTTGAAAACTATGGCAAAACTGGTTAAAATTACCCTTCTTAAGGTCGATTCAGACACATCAGTCACGGTACCGAACCGGTCTGTTTGGTCACAGAACTATCAACTATCTGACAGCTGCAAACTGTTCGTCAACTGAGAGTGTGAATGCCGGCGCCATATTTGTATTAAAGAATATTTTGTATGACGGATTGTTCGATTCGGCGCAATCACTGTGACGAGATGGTGACGAGACGTGACTGATGTGTCTGAATCGACCTTTAAGGTCGATTCAGACACATCAGTCACGTCTTGTCACAGTGATTGCGCCGAACCGAACAATCCGTCATACAACAAAATA